AACGAATGATTATAAACACTTGTTAAGAATTTCTTAATTATTAGTTTTTTAAAATCACATTTAATGCATTGTTTTATCAAAATTTAAAAAATGCATTAATTGTAACCTTTCTTTAAATATCACATTAATTATGTTAACATTTTTCAAAAGTAAAATCTATTTATTCTATTATAATATACAATAATATATTATAAAAAATATAATTAAAAGCACATTTACATGGTGACAAAGTATCAATACACATTTTTTTTTAGACAATATCAATAAACATATTAACAAAACTATATAATTGTATGTGCTCATGAATGAACATTATATACTACTATTTTGTAACAAAATTATATACTTTTTACATGATATAATTTAAATGCATTAGTTAAGTGTGTGAGAACTTCCAAATTTTATATTTTGGTGTAAGTATTTGTTAAATGAGATATTAAATACCTTAAAAAAATGATAATATTTAAAGAACCTAAGGTGCTTATTATGTAATTAATCAATTAGTTTTTTAAATTCCTTTTGAAGAAATATTCTTATTTTGTGTGCAATAGGATATATATATATATATATATATATAGAGAGAGAGAGAGAGAGAGAGAGAACAACAATGCTTATCAGTATTAAGGAGCCATATTCTCTAAGTAGTTTAAAATTTAATAAATTTATTATAGTGCATCGACTTAAATATTTTTAATTTAAATTAAAAGAACTAAGTATTATTGAATGTTTGTTTAACAAAATTGCTTTTTTGCCTACACATCATGAAACTTTAATATTTTATTGAAATTTACTTAGGTATTGAATGCTAAAATTGATTTTAAAAGGGTACAAAGATCTATGAATATCAAATGAAAATAATTGATTATTTACTATAAAAAAATCTTATAACAGAGAATCATAAGTAAATTAATAGAGATAAAAAATATTAAAAAATTAAATTTAATGGCTAAAGCAGTTTTAAATTAATAATAATTAAAAAAAAATTTGATCTTCCATCCTTTTTTAACTTTGTTAATTTATAAAATTTTAAACATTTTTAAATTTCAAATATAATCATTTTACTTATTGTGAATTGAAGTTTGAACTATAAATGAATTTAATAATTATCATGTGTTATTAAAAACCTATTTTATATAAACGTACATGTAAAAATAACTTATTTGATAATTTTATATTTTATAATATAATTAATTTAAAATAATATTATATAATATATTTTGAATTGAAAATTTTCAAAAAAAAACACATACTTAATTGGACAAAATAAAAATTTGATCTTTAAATAAGACATCTTGTAAACATGAAGCATGGAATCTAATATATATATATATATATATATATATATATATATATATATATAATATTACAAAATTTATTGATATTTGATAAGGTATGCCACGTAGATATTTACATGTTTTAAAATTTAATTTTAATAGGTAAGATAATAATTTAATTTACATTTTCAACCAAATAATATTATTCAACAATTATTTAATTTTAAAAAATATTGAAAGTTTCAAAAATTAGATCTATTCTAATATTTAAACAGTATTATTTTAACTTAAATCAGATAAAATTTATCCTTGAACTCATTTTTTTCAAATATATTTAGAACAAAATCAATAATTTTGTTATTTCTTTTTTAAAATGAACATTTAAACCATCTATATATCTCTTTTTAAATTTTACAATATATATAATTTAGATGTGTCTCTAACAATCTAGATATATGACATTTTTTTTAAAAAATATGTAATTTAAATATATCTTTAACAATTTAGATATATCTATTTTAAAATTTAAAATTTTAAATATAATTTTATTTTTATAAAATTCCTAATAAATTTTAAAAGACCAAAAATCACTTATTTTACTATTTAATGGACGTTGTCTTCTATCTAGATAAAACATCCTTGTGTTGAATTTCTCATATTACTCATTGAGTCCATCGATTGCACATACTATGGTGTTATTCATATTTACATCAAGTATCATCTTCATCTTTTTAATTCACTAACAGTTCCATATATTGTGTTTTTTATTGTGACAAATTATTATTTTGATTCTTAATAGCCGTTTAATCGATTGGAGAGGATGTTAATTACAAAACACCCAACCCAAAGCTTTAAGGTTTTTCGTTGGCAATTAATATTTCCTCTAAAAAATATTAGTATGACAAATGTTGTCTTACCAATTTAGTTCTACTTATCAATAATTATAGTTTTGCCATTAACTTGTGAGATCTCTGCGCTGCAATGGCTTTTTTTTAGAATTTGCTTTCAAGAATAATAGGTATTATATTAAGTTAAGTGAATTGGAACTTTAAAATCAAGCATCCCACTAGGTAGAATAACAGTTTTATCATGTAAAAATCAACAGAAATTATAATGGCAATATTTAAATACTGTATTTTGTTTAATCAGATCCTTGCAAGAAGTAAGAATTGAGGTTTATTTGCTTTAATGTTAAAACTTAAAACGTCTTTGATCTTCACAACATAATAGTAAAATAATCCTATAAGTGAGTTTTATTTGTCTTATAAGTATTATTGATGACTATATACATGGAATGTAGGGTTGGGGTAATCCATTGTAGTAAATATAAGAAAATAAACTATGGAAATGGTATAATACCGCTTGCTTTTATTTATTGAAAATATTAATCTTTATAAAATGATAAGTATATCTTTGTGTTTAAATTTTATATCTTATATTAATAACTTGACACTGAAATAGAGATGAAAATGTTTTTTTTTTTTTTAAAGGACTTTTCAAGATAATTATCTACAGTAGGAGATTAACTTCCTTAACCAATTAATTCTAACAAGCCATTTTCATCTTCATTTATCGTTAAACACATTGTCCACGGATGGTTCAAACTTTTTTTTAATCTTCATCATCTCAAGTGAGTTCCAAAACTTTGGTTAAATATAATTATATGAAGAAAAAGGTAGTTATATATATGCTTGTAAGGTAAGAAATATATTTTTGAGAAAAAAAAAAGAAAGACATTGTAATTGTTTTATAATTAAAAAAATTGAAGTATCTATTGAAAATATTTTAAAAACTAATGAGAAATTAGAATCTTTTTCTGAAATTGATTTACCATACCTTGTACCAAAAAAACAAAAAATGACATCCACCTTTTGTTATTTATAGAAAGGCAATTATACTCAACTTTTGTAAATAAAATAAATTAATCATATTATTGGTTTTTTAAAAGAGTAAAAAAATTTACTATTATTTATAAAGAGTTTTACTATTTATTTTCAATGGATATTTATCATTCTTATAGTTGAATTAAACTATATATTTCTAGATTTTGGCAAAAAAAATTTATTTGTAGATTAAACCTAATTTTTTAAATAAAAAATGATTAAATATAGTTTTAGAATTCATTGTTGAATTCAATATTAGATTGACGTAGATGTGTAGATAAAATTGATGGACATATATATAAATATAATTTTAACATCATGACGTCATGATTAATATTTTAATTTTTTGTTTGTAGGTATCAAATCTAGGTATATGTATGTTTAATTTATAAAAGATTAAAAGAAAATTTTTTTAAGAAAAAATTAATTATGCATATATATATTTACAATATTATAAAATAATTTCTATGCAATTTATAACTTATGACATTTATTATTCCAATTTTGTTTGTCTTATATCGTTTTTTGAGTCAAATAAATTCAACTTAGATCATTATTTTTATTAAAATTATAAAATTACAAAATTTTTGAAAATAAGATTTGTAAAGATTAAGTTTCCAAATTTTCAAAACATATGAAAATTTGTGTAAATTTTTTTTTAGGTACCCATAACCTTTTACTTTTTGAATCAAATTGCTCATATAATAAAAAAAAATTATTTTCTTTATCTTTTTAATACAAGAAATTTTTTTTATCAAATACAGATATTTTAATATAAGGGAAAAATAATTAATGTGAAGATGAAATTATATATTTTTAATTTTGAATGATAATTTAATTAATTTGTACTTTATTATATTTTTAAGCATAATCCAATTTATAGTCTTAAGCCAAGGAAAGTGTTTATTTTTCAAGACTCTCCATCATTTTGTAAATTTAAATGCATTATTTTCAAGTTTAAATTTGACAATTATATAAAATTAAGAAACAGTTTATGAAATGGCTAATCATTCAATTCCACTTTAAAAATTCAAAATATAAGGAATTTAATACTTTTGAATAATACCTTTATATTTTGTTCATATGTTTGTTTAAAATTTAATATTATTTTCTAATCATAACTTCAAATTAAATAGATAAATTAATTTGTACATTGCACAAATTACAATCTAGCTGGAATAGATAACTTATGCAAACCAGGTTGAGAAAAAATAAAAAAATTGAAAATGACATAAAATCTAGGATTTATTTGAATAAGTTTTTTTTATTCAATTTAATTTAAGTTTAGACGTTTTATATTTTAATTTAGTTCAGTTTTTTATTGGAAAATAAAAAATTGAAAATATTTGAATTATATATTTTTATTAATTTTTTATATATTTTTAAAATTCTTATAAAATAAAATAATTACTTTATATCTAAATGAATTTAAAGTATATTAAAAATAATATAAAAATAAAAAATAAATTTTTAAAAATTAATAAACCAAATCAAATTAATAAAATTCAATTCAAATCATTAAATTTTTTCAAATCAAATTAATAAAATTCAATTCAAATCATTAAATTTTTTTTTTTTAAAATTCAAACTCATATCAAATTTTAAAAATATATAATACCTTACATTAATCGAAATTATCCAACATCAAATCCATTATGAGCCTAAACAATAATATTTCTTTAAAAAAAAGTAAAAAGCGAAAATCAAGCAAGGGCAAAATAGTCAAGCAAATCTTAGGAGAAAGGCAAACACAGAAGGGTGAGTGGCCTTGTAGTTTCCGACAAAATCACAAATATGCCGTCATACAAAAGAAAAAAAAAAAAAAAAAGAAGGGAAAAGTACAAACTATTTCCCTTCACATTTGGGGAGAGAAACAAAGGCAAATAAATTCTAACCAGGAGGGCGCTTCTTTTTTTTTTTTTTAATTAATTATATTATATTTGTAGCCAACAAGGAGGAGGGTTTGCTTGCACGTTAACAAGAATAGAAAAGCCTCTCATTTCGCCTGCCCTGTTTCACTCCTCTTTGAGTCTTAACTAAACAAAAGCACCCTCAGGCCACAGCTGTCTTCTTCTCCTCTAGCATTTTTTCCTTCTTGTTCTTGTTTTTCTAAATGGCAGAAGAGAAGAAGGCCCAAGCTGCTGGCATTTGGCCAAAGGTTAAACCTTTTGTCAATGGTGGTGCCTCTGGAATGCTGGCCACCTGTGTCATCCAACCCATCGACATGATCAAGGTTTTCACTCATCTTTACCTTAATTTCCCGTTATATTTCTGGTAGATTAGCTGTTCCTTTTTCCTTTCACCGTTAAAAGGATGCTACTTTTAAGGCCAAAGATGTGTGTTTTAGATCTGGGATTTGCTTGGATTTCTTTCATCGTTTTTTATCTAGTTTGGTTGGTTTTATATCTGCTAACGGTCGTTTGTCGTTTTGGCTTGGTGTAGGTGAGAATCCAATTGGGTCAGGGATCGGCAGCAACTGTCACCAAAAACATGCTTAGAGAGGAGGGCGTTGGTGCCTTTTACAAGGTTCTGTTCTAAACTTCATTCACGTTTTTTTTTTTTTTTTTGATTCATTAGTATGATTGATATACCTTTTCAGGTATTACATTTGTTATGGACTTCTGAGATCTATGGTAGAAGCTGGATCTTTAATTTTTGCATCGTTAACATCGTATATCAACAAGGATGTTAAAAGTTTCTTGATTTTCTACATTTTTTATTCAACGGTGTATATGAAATTATTTATTGATGTTGCCAAAATATTGGTATTTAGTATTGTTTCATGAGGTATGATGTGCTTCTTGATTTGCTAATACTTAATAGCATATAAAAGATGAAATTGGCCAAAATACATGCTTGCTTTCTACTCCAGTTGTCTGGAGCGTAGACTTTATACAACTTGAAACTGCAATTTGCTCATCAGTGGTTATACATAGAGATGCTGACTATCTTGCTGAATTTATGCTGTCTATTTTCAAAATTCAAGAATTTGGTTATACGTTCTAATTTGAATTAAAAAAATAGTTCTATTATCCATGAGTCTGTCTCACTTGTAATTTCTGGACAGGGGCTATCAGCTGGACTGCTCAGGCAAGCTACATACACTACTGCTCGACTGGGATCATTCAAGTGAGTGTCTAAGAATGGGATAAAATGTAAACTGTTGGGTGGCTTTGATTATACACTTCAAGATACTACCCTTTTTTGTTCTAATGATTAATCGTTTGGATTCTGAAATGTATCCTTTATTTTTTACGTCATTAACATTTTTTTCCCACTGCTTATGTGTGATGTAGTTTGCTTCTGAGACTAAACTTGGGTTATCTATTTGGGTTCCAATTCAGCTTTTGGTTTTATTTCCATTGTTTTCTATAGAATGTTGACAAACAAAGCAATTGAAGCCAATGATGGGAAGCCCTTACCTCTATATCAGAAGGCTGTATGTGGTCTGACTGCTGGTGCTATTGGAGCTTGTGTTGGCAGCCCAGCTGATTTGGCACTTATCCGGATGCAGGCTGATGCCACTTTGCCTGCTGCTCAGCGCAGAAATTACTCAAATGCATTCCATGCTCTCTATCGTATTGTTGCAGATGAAGGGGTTTTGGCACTTTGGAAAGGTGCAGGCCCTACTGTAGTCAGAGCCATGGCTTTGAACATGGGAATGCTTGCATCTTATGATCAAAGTGTTGAATTTTTCAAAGATTCCCTTGGCTTAGGAGAAGCTGCTACAGTGCTAGGTAAGAGTCTTTCTGAGTAGCATGGATGTTTTAACTATTCTAAAGTCTTTGGTAAACTATCATTGCTAAAGAAAAAGGACTTTTTTAGGTTCTAAATTTGTCGAGTGAACATAACTTATGTGTAACTGATCCTTTGTTGGTATAGGCAAGTAGCAGAATCATTTTTTAGAAGTTATTGCTACCATAAGGAAAGATTGTTGAAACATGTTCTCTAGTTGGATTACCTCACATAATTGGAGTCTGTATTTCCCTTTTTCAAGATTAAAATTTAAGCACTTCTGTTTTCAATGTCATGCATAAATGATTGCTCTGAAGGTAATAATTTACCCTAACAACCACATAGTTTTAGTTCTCCATTTCACATGCTTAAAGATTTTCCTTGAAGCAAATAACTTGTTAGGATCCTTTTGGAGATGCTTCTGAATTTTGTTTTTCTTTAATGAATAGCAAGGAAAAGGGAAAATATTAAATAAATAAACCAAAGATATAGTAAAAAGCAAAAGTATTTACTGAACAGAACCTTATTTTTTCCTTACTATTACAAAGGTTGGATGAAAATTTTGAACTTTTTGAATGTGATGATGGATCTTTTCCTTCCTCTTACCTCTGTACATGCATAATATTTATATGCTCATTTTGGAGATTTTTGCATGAATGTAGGTATATAGTCTCTGCAAGCATTGTAATGATGGACTTAATTATAAAGAAAAAACGTACTGACAACTTTCTAGGTAATACAAGAAGGATTGGCTATGGGAGGACATTATTACTGCATGACTTTGATGAAGACACTTAGCTAAGGATGATCAATAAATATGTAAACAAAAAGTTAAATATGGTCAATATCGATTTTGGTTCGTACATTAATGCTTACAGATGAGAAACCTTGGAATTTTTAATGCCAAATGTTGGTTTCTCAAAAGATCTTAACAAAAAACCAAAATCATTAATAACTAAATTTAATCTTAAAAGAAGAGATTTTGTTTTCTTGATCTTCATGTTTGTCCATCTGCTATGAAGCTGCTTTTATATCTTTCATTCCTTTAAATTTTTTGGGGGAGAGGAAATCTTGAACATTGATCCTTGGAGGGGAGTTATGTTTACTGATTGTGCTATGCCTTCGTCATGATGCCTACGTCATTTGAGGAAGTTTGGTTGAAACAACACTTTCTACAGTTTCAATGTTACATTCAGAGATTTTAGCAGGAAGATTGGCTCTCCTTGCATTTTATTTTATTTTTTATTTTAGAACTGGTTTCTTCTACTTCATTTATATTTTTCATTGGTTGGTTGGGCTTATCCACTGCTGGTCCTGATTTTGGAAGTGTCATTATTATTTGACTATATCTCTTACACCATGGCCACCTTAATGTCTTTTTAGGCAAAAATATTTGGTGTATATGCTCTCAGGATAGCCTGTGATACTTTTCCAATCCGTAAGAAGATCATACTATTGGTTGACATGCATTACCAATTCTAAAACTTGTGTTGTTAACTGGCTTTTACATTTTTTAGCAAAGATGTGCCTGTGCTCACTTTTCCCACCTTTTGATTAATGTTCCTTTTCTTTTGTCTCAGGTGCAAGTACCGTTTCAGGGTTCTTTGCTTCAGCTTGCAGTTTACCTTTTGATTATGTCAAAACACAAATTCAGAAAATGCAACCTGATGCTGAGGGAAAGTATCCATACAGTGGCTCTTTGGATTGTGCTATGAAAACCCTCAAATCTGGAGGACTATTCAAATTTTACACAGGATTCCCTGTATATTGTGTTAGAATTGCTCCACATGTCATGGTATTTACTTTATATTCTAGTCTTTGTGTGATCCTCCAATTCAACTGTAAAGTGAAAGCTTAGTGAAGAGTTTTTAGTTATCCCTGATGACTGGATGTTCTCTTGTGCAGATGACTTGGATATTCCTCAACCAGATTCAGAAGGCACAGAAAAAAATAGGGTTGTAGAGTTCTCAGAGATGGGGATTAATGTTGTAGCCCCTGTATCTAATAAAATCTTTTTATTTTTGGCTTTGGTGTGTTCTTTCTGCTGATCTGGAAAATTCACACACCCTCAAAGCCGAACCATTTGGTTTACAATTTTTCAAGTGCATTTTTGAAGTAGGATCTTCAAAGTTGTCTTATTTTCTGCCACTAAATTTTAGGGTGTGACTGATACAGGAATTTAGAAGTACCATTCGAATCTTGAGACTGAGAGTTACTGATTTCAAAAGTTCACAAGGAACTTATACTTTTTAAGCAAAATAAATGTACTCTATGAACTGGTATTTGGGAATTTGGTATGATAACCAAGTTCAAGGCTTTGAATCTTTATATTTCACATTTCCATTTCTTATTTTCTTGAACAGTCGAGGTTCTTGACGAATGTTGGTATCTTGCAGTATTATAGCTGACCTTTAATTATCATTCTCTAGTTGTGCATTCGGTCAGGATCCTGTGTGGTTTTGTATTATTATTATTTGGGGAGTATGGATTTAAATCCTTGTTCTCTCATTGCCCTTGGTTGCTACTAGTTTTTCGTAGTAGGAATTAGGAAGTGCCTCCAATATCTTGTTGTCACTGTTTCATGAACCTATTTGAATGTCCAAACCAACCATTTCAAGTTTCCCTTCTTGTAAGAACTTTTAGCTTTCATGTCCATTCTTTGTTGTATGTGGGTTTTGTTTGATTCATTTTGTTTAGCTTTCAAGTTCACCAGTTCCCTTGCTGAGATTGTGAGATGACTGTTGAATTTACAAATTTGAGAGAAGGCCAAATTTTACATTTTATCCTGTACTTTGGTAACAATGAAATTAATTAATGTGTATTATAATTAATTATCGAGTTTAGTTAATAATGAAATTATTATCTTTATCTTAATATATTCAAATTAAACTTTTATACTTCAATTAATAATCAAATTTAATTAAATTGTTAAAAGCTTAAGTTTTTTCATTTAAATTAATGATGCGGTAATTTAAATTTTTTTAATGTGATTTTTCTTAAGTCAAGTTGTTAAAGTTGATGTGGCAATATTCTTTGTCATATATTTTTAAAATTGTATGATTTATTCTTATATATTGGTCAAATGGTGAAATTAACTTTTTTTATCTTAATGTGTTTAAATTTAATTTTATACATTAATTAATTATCGAATTTAAAATTTAATCTAAAATAACTAAAATAAAAATAAAATAAAATAAAATAACTTTTAAATGCAAATAAGTTGAGTTATAATCGAAACAATACATGAGTCACGTGAGTTACACAAGACCCATTTTTCAAAATGATCAATCTACTATAAAAACAAAAATAGCCTCTTTTTTTTTTTTTTTGAATTTTCCTCTTTTTCTCATCTCTCTTCCATGTTTTATCTCTTCCTTTTCTTTACATGTCTCATTCGTTAAACTCAAATTTTAATGGGATTTTCAAAAGTCAGTGATTGAAAAATTCAACTATTGTAAGAAAAACTTTATTCCAAAAATCGTCAATGCTTGAAAATTGACCATTGATACCATCGTTGTATATAATTGCTCAAAACAAACAAAAATTGAACATGATGCTTTAAAAATTCAAAATATGAATCCTCTAAAAAAGAATTTTTATAGAAAAAAAATTGCTTCTGATCGTTTTTATTGGCTGTTTCTATTTTTTCCTATGTCTTCTTGTCGATTTTTACTAATATTGATTAAGTATCTAAGTTTGTTGGGTTTGTTGATTCTAGGAATCTTGATATAACTTCTATATTTATGTAATGTTTTTTTGAACTTTTTTTTTGTTTTGTAGTTTTCGTTTTTTTTTTTTAATTTTTTAATTCTAAAAATATTAAAAGTAAAAATTAACAAAAATATAAAAGAAATAAAAATCAAAAGAAATAAGTAAAAAAAGAGAAAAAAATTTAATTTTTGTTGGACTTAAAATATAATTTGACATTAACCTAATTTATCAAAACAAAGTCCAATAAATAATTTAAATATCCAAAGAAATTATCTAAAAAGTGAAAAAATGTCACGTCGAATTAATAATTTATAGTTTTTACGTTTTATTTAAGTGAAATCATAAATTTGATAATTAATGAATGTATAAGGATTAAATTTAAACATATTAAAATAGATGGATTAATTTCATCATTTGATCAAAACATAAGAATATATCATATAATTTGAAAAAAGTTGACATAGAAAAATGTAGACATAACAAAAAAATTTTGCATGTCATCAATTTTTATCACTTAGACTTGATATATCATAAAGTCAACGAATATGTAAATAAAAATATCATGTAAAAAAAAATTAAAATATCATGTTATCCATTTAAACAAAAAAAATTTTAACTATTAAGAATTTTATTAAATTCAATAATTAATTAAAATATATCAATTCAATTTAAACATATTGAAATAGATGAACTAATTCTACTATTCGACAACAGTACAGGAATGTAACGTATAATTTGACCTTTAAAGAATCAAACGCTAGAGTACAATAGGACTTGGTATTCTCGTTGGATTTGTGTATTTTTTGTGTTCACTTGATAACTCATTCTTTTTCGTCCCAGCCATTTTATTCACTCTTATCCTGTTACCGCTAATATTGAATTTTAACAATAAAAAACATCGCGCATCTTTTACTCACACATGATCGGCAAGCCATCAACTTCTATTTCTCTGTTAGTGCTTGTTTGTTGAATTTGTAGCACTGGTGGTGCGGCCGTTGAGGTTATGGGAAAATTTTTATATGAAGTTTTATAGGTAAGATTTATGAAATTTGTTATTAAAAATGAGTAAATAAAATAAAAAAAATTTTATCACATAAATCAAATGTGTAAATTTGAAAATTTTTTTTTTTTTATATATTTATTAAATAGAAATTTGTTATTAGAAATGAGTAAATAAAAATTAAAATAAAAAATTAATTGATAAATTAAAAAATCTCATCACATAGATTAAATCTATAAATTTTAAAAAAAATTTAATAAATTTTGATATATTTATTAAATAGATATTTTTAATAAAAATATAAACAAAATTTTTATTGTTAAATAAGTGTCAATTAAATTTAAATTATAATTAATATTTTTTTAATAATTTTTTATATATTATTTATTTTCATATTAAACTTTATTAATCTATTGATTTAAATTTTTTATTAAAAATTTTATTTACTCATTTTTAATAAAAAATTTCACAAACTTTATGTACGAAATTTTATATAAGTTGTCCTGAGATTACGATGGCGGTAGTGTCAGCATGGCAAGAAGTTACAGATATTAAAATCAACCACACATTGATTAGTGTTTGTTAAAGGATTTATATACGGTGTACCAATATACATTGTCATTTTATAAATAAACTAGTTTATTGCTTGCGTGATACACATATTATTTTTAATTATTTAAATGCATGTAGATACATAAATTAAAACTATTTAATCACTTATATATTCAAGATATATGTAAAATACATATAGTATAATTAAGATATCAAAACATTATAAAATTAAAATTTTTTATTAAAAAATTTAACAAATTAATTTCAAAAAAAAATTTGAAAAAGAATAAAATATCCAAAAGATATTATAAATAATAACATTGAGTACACCAATAAAATATTAAAATAAAAGTTAAAAATTTTATTACTTTAAATTAACTTTTTTCAATTTACATCATTTTCATCTTGTACAATCATTTTTAAGCACCTACAAATTTATATAATTTTAAGCTAAATTTTTATTTATTTAAAAGAAATAATGGTTTTAAATGTTTAAATAATGTACTTAAAGCTTATTCATAGCTTACAATAATAACATCTTGCATCAAGTGTGGTGTTTCCTTTATTTTGCAAGTGAGAAATGTGCTTACAGTTACAATAATCTAAATAGTTCACCAATAAAAATTTTAATAATTAAGGCTAAATTCCTCTATATTAAGAAAAGCCAAGTTTTTCAAGAATTATCAGACATAACAAAAACTAATAAATATTAAAAAATAAATAATAATATGTAATGTTCTATTTTCAAAGAATGCAGTTAAATTTAATATAGATGTTTGTTGATAAAAGGTTTCATGCAAAGTACTTTACATATGCATTTATTTTCTATTCACACCCATACTTGGAAACTAAGAGTTCTATATATTTCGAAAGAGAAAAATGCAAGTAAGCATTAAAACATAGTAATAAAACATCTACCTCTTAGTCATTCTTTGTATGAAATTGGCACATGTAAAACTGGTGGCATAGTATCATTGCACATGCTACCACCACTTGAGACCTGTAAGTAAAGTTGTCAATCACCATTTTTAGTAGTATTATGAAATATAAAACCTATTTTAGAAATTAAAGTGATTACAAAAGAAGCAAATTTAATGTAGATATTTGTAAGTTATAAAAATAAGAAATATATCATCAACACTTATAAAAGAGAAGAATAAATGCTTTTGTAAGTTGTATCTTTATACTTTACAAAATTTGAAGAAGCATACATAAAGATAAAAAAAAAAAAAAAAACAGAGAAATAGAAATTGGCTTTAAGAGTTTTTTAACTTGTTTGTTATAATATGTGATACTTGATTTTTTTTTAATTTAAAAATAATCAAATAATAGAGGATTGTTATGAAATCTCTAAAGATAAAAATTACATTTGAGAATTTGAAATTAAAATATATATATATATTTAACTTATCAAGAAATCCATTTTAAAGAAAATATATATTACCACATTTTAAAGTTTTGATTTTTTTTATTCTGTTAATGTTTCTTTTCTTTCTTTTTTTTCATTAGAAATTTTGTGATTTTGGTGGATATATGTAATTAAACTAATCTACAAATAATCTAAATATATAATACGACATTTGGAATTTTCAGATTCAAAAGGATATATATATATATATGTATATATATATATATTTAGATTATTAGGAAATCTATTTTAAAATATCATATATTATTACATTTGAAAATTTTAAATTAAAAAACTTGTCTAGATTATTAAAAAATTCATTTAAAATTAAAAAAGATAATATATTTAAATTATATTTTATTGTTAATAATATTTAATTATTATTATTATTTACAGATTTTGTTGGTAGCAGTATATTTAAATTAAAATATAAAAGGATAGTTATATATTTTTAAAAAAATTATATATTTAAAAATATAAAAAGATAATAATATTTAATTATTATTATTATCTTATGTGTCATTCAAAGAAACGATCCATCTAAATATCCACATAAACAAACTTTATCAGATTTCTATATATGTTGTAAATAATATTATATATGATAAATTTTAAATTTTTAAGTTTTTAAAAATTTATATTTTAATTATTTAATTTTTTTAAAAAAATTTTTATTTTAAAGTTTTATTTTTTTTATTAATAAGTAATCATCTTTTAATTAAATGATATTGCATCGAATATAAATTCTATTTTTTTTTTTAAGGATGAAGTTCTTTTCATTTTAAATCATTTATATATATATATATATATATATATATAAAAAACTGTGAACTCCAAAAGTATTAATAGTGATCAATCAAAATACCCATATAAAGTTTTAAATTAACAAATTTATCCTTAAATATATATAACTTTTATTAATTTATTTAAATTTAATTTAAATCAA